AGAGAGAGAGAGAGAGAGAGAGAGAGAGAGAGAGAGAGAATACGAATCTGCAAAGGGGAGAGTGGGGAAAGACCCGTCATCGAGGTGGGAGGTGGGCTAGAGCCGCCGCCGCCGCGCCCCAGCCATATCAATGTCAGTTACCAGTGACCCAGACACAACACGTGCAGCTTGCATTGACTTTTACTAGACTGTTTACTTTTATTCGTCCCATTTCATAACCTGCAGCGACTGGAAGAACAGATTAAAGAACCTGACAAAAACAGGATGCGACGGATGTTTTTACATGTTGGTTTCATGTAGGCGGTAAGAGAATTATTTGTGACAGGGGTTAAGAAAGTAAGAGAGGGGAGACGAGACGTGGAAGGAAGGGAAGGAGGGCGAGGGGGGGGGGTAGGGAGAATGAATATGAATATGGATCTGCAGGAACAGATCAAGCAAAAAAGACATTTGTGAAAAATGAAAGCAAAAAAAAAAAAAAAAAAAAGCAGTCGGGCCGAGCCTGGATCTGCCCTGAGCGGCCTCGAGGCGCAGCCCGCCCGACGGGCCCGTTTTGCAATCGGCCAGCCCGGAGCACGCCCGCAGCCACCGCGGTCTTTCGAAATCTCCAAGGGCTGCTTTCCCTGGCGCCCACGTCCCGGCACCCAGGCAGCGCCCCTATCAGAAAGGCGGGTTGCCCAGTCTACTGTCGGGCAGACGGTAAGGGCCAGTGCCCGGGAGGGCAGCTTACAACACACAAAACCTTACCGCTCTAACAGGCAACGCAGCAGGGTTAGCTGGGAGGCGTCTATCGGGTCACACATACCTACCTCATGTCCACCAAGAACCTCTTTACAAATAGTTTCTTCCCCGTCCCTCTTTAAGTGTTCGGACTTTGGGCAAGCAGACTTCTCATGAATCACCAAAGTGATTAGGGGCAATTGGAGAGCAAGCTGCGGGGTTACCACTATTTTATTTTTTTAAATCCCGCCCGGAGACTAATTGGAATAAAATAAATCCATTTTTAATTTTAGAAGATAAACTTCAGAAATTTGCTCTTTAATCCACGTCAGAGTCTAAACAGCTTGTGGGCTGCTTGCTTCACAGAAGTTAACAGGAATAGGGTGAAGTGGAGAAAACTGTAAAGTACTTAAAACACTTCGGGCTAATAATTTGGTTTGTCTTTCTTCTTTTTCGCGGGGTTTGGGGGGAGAGGGGTAGAAGGAGCATCCGCTAAGCGTAAAACTACCTCCCTCTAAAAATTTCAGTACCCACATTTCCAAGTTTGGGCAAAGTTTCTGAAACCACGTCCCCCAACCACCCAAGAAAATTCGGTATCTCCCATCCCCCACTCCGTCATTAAAAAGAAAAACTCTCCAAAAGATATGGAAAGAAGATGGGTAGATTGCTAGTAGGTCGACTGTAATCTCCAGGCTACGGATGCTCGCCCTCCTCCCGAGCCAGCCCGGGGAGATAACATCTAAAGTCATTAGGACCAGAACTTGGAGCATCTACCCCTAACTACAGAAGCTCCAGCTCCCCCACTCAAGCCCTTTCCTTTTTGAGGATAACCTGGCTCTAAACTCCGCTCTCTATCTTAAAGTGTCACTGCCTTCAGTCTTTTGCTCCGGTTCCTTTCTACAGGAGTAGCTGGGTGGTTCCAACATCTTCCGAGAGCAGCGTCGGTCAGAACAGACCAAGTGGAAACGACAGAAAAGTAGAACCCCTGCCCCAGCCGAGCCTCCAGGCGCATCCCCTCCACTCACCCTGGGCGCTGCGGTCCTCCATGAACTGGCAGAGTAGCAGCAGCAGGAGGCAGAGCCCGCCGGGCTGGTGCCTGGCGCAGACCATCCTGGGGCAGGCGCGGGGCGAGGAGCGCGGCGGCGGGTGGCTTGGGCGAGCGGCGCGCGTCGCAGAGGCGAGCGGCGGAGGGCGCAGCGATCCCGGCGCAGCCCCGCGCTCGCCAGCGGCCGCCCGCGCGATTCAATGGACGTCAGAAGCCGGGCGCAGCCGTGCTTTAAATCTAGACGGGGGTCTCCGAGGTTTGCGGTGGGCGGTCTCCCAGTGTGTGGGGCTGTGAGAGGGCGGCCGCGACCGAGGGTGTGCCGGCTCTTTGGGGGTGGGGAGCTTTTAAAAGTTCAGTGTGAATCAGGTGACATTTCCCACCTTCTGGAAACCCTTCCCAATTATCTGTCGGAGGTGCCCGAAATCAAAGCGGCAGGAGGGGAATCGCCGAGTTCTTATTTGCGTAGGAGCGGGAGGGGAGGGGGAAGGAGGTAGGGGCGGGGGCTGGGGGCGACGCGTCGGGGGTGGGGAGGGACATCCACTTCAGTCCTGCACGCCGCCGCTCTCGGAGCCGGCGCGCCCGGGGTGGCGTGCGAGTGTGTGTGTGTGTGCGCGCTCGCGTGTGTGCGTGTGCGCGTGTGAGTGAGGGCTCTTGGAGGAGGCGGCCGGCGGAGCGCGGGGACCCCGGGGAGTGGTTCCCCAGCACCTCTGCTCCTGGGCTCGGGAGAGACTTCTGCAACACGCCGCAGGATCCTGGAGCTGCTGAAATGCCCCCGGGGAGCAGTTTCAGGATCCTTCCCGCAGAGCCTTGGCGCAGGGGTCCCGGAGACGTTTTGTGTCCCGAGGTCTCTTGCGTGTCTTACTTTTCGGCCACCCTGCCCGCTCCTCCGCCTCTCCCTCCCACCCCCCACCCCCAGCCCCCAGCCTGGAGTAGGTTGCTAAGAACCCCGACCCCCAGGCACCTTCCACCCAGCAGAGCGCTGCGGAGACACGGCCCTCGGTCTCCACAAGTCAGAGGCAAACAAAAATGTTTAACACCTCGTAGCCGGCCGCCCCCGGCAGTCTCGCCCTCTCCCTTTCTTTTCTCCCCTTTCACGTCGTCGCGTCTGGAGTCGCAGCCCGGAGCGGGGGCGCCGACGTAGGCGGTCTGCCCCCCTCCTCCCCCGCTCCGAGACGCCCCAGTTTCTGTCCCGAGTCTCTCTCTCTCTCTCGCTCGCTCTCTCTCTCTCTCTCTCTCTCTCTCTCTCTCTCTCTCTCTCTCTCTC